CCCCCCCCCCCCCCCCCCCCCCCCCGATTTGACTCTTTTTGTTGTTTGATGTACGACAGGGTTGCGACGCCAAGCTGCGCGAAGAGGACGGCAAGCCGTACGTGACGGACAACGACAACTACATCGTCGACCTCTACTTCACCGACCCCATCAAGGACGCCAACCAGGCGGGCAAGGAGGTAACATTTGCAAACAAGAATGAGGAGGATTGGAAGGCCGGTACCCACCCACCCCCACCGCCATTTTGAGTTCGTCGTTGGGTAACAGAACAATATCCTAGACACTGCGATCTGAGTATGATGCAGCTGTGCCAATGCATCAAAGATGCTGTACACGATCGTCGTGGTGGAGGGAGGAGTGTTTGTCTACCGCCAGGCCTGATGCTTTTGTGTACGGAACGAACCCAACGACAGAGCTCTCTGGACCCCCCCTCCCCACCCCCACCCCCGCGCGACCTGTACTGCTGTGACCCCCTCGCTACTCGTATCAGATGCTGGAGACCGTGGGCGTGGTCGAGCACGGGCTGTTCCTGGACATGTCCTTCGCGGTCATCTCGGCAGGCACCGACGGCATCACTGTCAAGACGAAATAAACGATCGATTCACACGCTCGTATGCACATATGGACGCACGCGTGTTGTTGTTCAAAAGCCTGTTATGTTAGTCTCTAGAGAGGAAGGCTCAGTTTCAGTGTGAATTGAAGTACTTTTAGGCCTGCTGGTCTCAGCACCGTGGTGTCAACTCCAATAGGGACATGCGTCTCGTTTTGTCATTACGATTGTGTGTGGTTTCAGCGTCACCGACGAGCCCCGTTATTCAGATAGAACGAAATTCTGCCACTGGCAGAACAACCGTGTGCCAAGGGGCGTTCTCGGAGAAATTAGAACGTCTTTTCCGAATAAGCTCTGTCGCGCGGCTGTTGTTGGTGCTCGTTGTGCGTTGTCCGGGCAGACGCGGCAGGCACGGTAACAACACGTCATCAATGATATTTTCGATGATGGTCAAAAACGTGAGCCCAGTGCTTTTTCCGTCACGTGAAGAAAGTCAAATAGAGGAAATACCGCGTACAGAATCGTTTGCTGTGAATTAGACGGACTGTGATGACGTGTACTGTTTTCGTTTTACGTTTTCGATTAACTGCCCAAACGTTACGCCGATGTCCGTACCTGTTCACGGAAGTGAAGACGCCCAGCCTTTCCTTTCTCGAAAGCGAAGGGGGGTGATCCGGCGTCTTCCCGTTGGCCCGCGCTTCCCATTCCCTTGCTCGTGGACTTGGCCGTGTCCGCTTCAACACGAAGAATCATGTCGGCAAGGATATCTCTCTGCTTCGATTTCCTACACATTTACTGCTGTTGTTGCAGCTGGTTTACATGCATGGTGGCCATCTTCACTCGCGCGACAAGTAGATGTGTCAACTGCTGTGATGGGACGCTACACAGTTAAGAAGAGCGAGGAAGAGCTGAGGAAGAGGAACTTGTTAGAGGACCTGCTGTCTCACGCAACGAACGATGGCGTTACGGACGGGCTTGGTGTCGTTGTCCGCGGTGCTGCGTGTTGTCTCTGCTACGTCTTCTTCTACCATTGTAAGTGCGCGCACTTGTAAACTTGCCGCGAGCTCGAATCAATCGTATGGGCATTTGTTCTCTATTTTGGTAGGACGGTCGTCATCGCTCTTGTCTGCTTCGTCGTGGGCGACTTCATGACTTCATGCAATCAAGGGAGAGGACGGCGCCCGGACGACACCGACAAGTATCCCGATTCTTCGTCAGTTGCCCCACGTGACATATATATATATATAGTCTAGTCAATTTTTGGCAACCGATTACGAAGGGGCATGGATGAACTTTAGAGTTCTAAAAACCAAGGGTGTGTTCAGTAGAGTACCTACTCAACCTACTCTCGGGTAGATACTCGAGTATCTACTCTACTC